TGGTTGGCCTACCGGGGGTCAAAAAGCTCAATAAATCACATGCCGGTGGGTATCGCACATTGGCAGTTGTGACACATATTTTGAGTGACAGGGAGCTGCAGCAGAGAGGTGAAAGAGCCACATGCGGCTCCAGAGCCACAGGTTGCTGACCCCTGGACTAGACTGTTTCTAGAGAATAGATATAAAATTCTAGCAAGTTTCTGTGGGAAATATAAATTGTTTCCCACAGCAACTTGCTAGAATTTTGTATCTATAAATATAAACAATAGTCAATTGTTTGTGAAGCTTGAATTATTTCTATAACTTAATTTTGATTAAATATTAGATAGATGTTGGAAAATATGAATTTAATCACTCTGCTGAAAGAAATGAAGATTTACAAAGAATTCTTTCAGACACAATATGTTCTTCTGAGGAACAGCTGTTTGAGTTCACATATTGTGCACGTATTTTATATCTGTCAGGAATTTGACAGAATGACATGCAAATATGTAAACTAAATGTTTATGCTGAAGACGCTAGGAAACATAGGCTTGTGAGATTTGTTTTTTCTGTTTTTGGAAATGGGTAGAGGGACACATTTCTAGTGACCTTATATAGATCCCTTAAATGTACTTGTGTTACACTGCCTTGTCAGAAAGGGTAATATCAGCATGATTTTATTAAATTCTTTGCACATATTATAACTATAGAAGCATTTTCAAAATTTTGATGTTGGAATTCTAAACTTTGAAATTTAGATATTTATTTTTGGAAATTAAGAGCAGTGAGAGGTTTTATAATGATCACATTCGATTCTGGTGTAAAGTCGTCATTTAAAACGAGGTGTAGGAATTGAGCTTTGCAGCCTTCAGTTTCCCATTTCACAAGTATGGATGAATAAGAGTTTAGAAGTCTTTGCTTTCTCTTTTAATCAATCTCAGTTTACCACTGGTTTCATTGAAGCAGCTTCTGAAGCCACATTTATGGCTTTTTGTAACTGACTGTGGTGTTAATCACAGTTTGTTACTGAGATGATACCTCACACAGTAATTAAACAAAAGCAAATCTTCTGGTCTTTTCTTCCCAATTACACGGAGAAAGAAAAAAAAGTATGGTGCCTGAGCTGATTTAGGGTGATATGATGAATGTAGTTAATGACTCAAACTAAGAAATATTCTCTAGGTTTTTAGAGAAGAACCTTTTTTATGGGTGTCAGACCTATGATATTCAGCATTCAAAACACGTGTGGTATTATTACAATCTTTTCCCAATCATTATAAGCATGATTTGACTGAAGAAATTTTAGACTAGTTAATGATGTGAATTTTAATTAGCTTGACAAATTAAGTAATCTACATAATTATAGATATTCTGAATCTTTGTTTTGAAAATATCTCCCAAATTTTGCAATATGACAGACTGAATTGGGGTTTTTAAAGTTCTTTGTTAATTGTTTTGAATATTTGCCAATTTGAAAGTAGGATATTAATAGAATAATAAATTGTAGTGTTAAATAGGGATTTATTAGTTTTGATATGTTCATTTACAGATTTATTGTATTCGTTGATTTTAATTCTGCGCTGCCATGAATCTTTTTATACTGCCATAGATCTTGGGTAGTGTAAGTAAAGTAAAGTAAAATAAATAAATAAATAAAAATTAATGGGGAACCTTTTTTTCTTGCCCTAATTGACAAATAAACTCAATAGAGTTGTCTCACTAACATAGAATAACACCAATTCTGATTAAATCGGCTTTTCATCATATGACCTAGGAAATAAAGTATTTTCAGTGGTTGCCTCTATGCTTTGGAATTTCCTCTTTATGGAGATCTTTCTTCTTGGGTTTCAGGAGAAATTAGTTAAGAGTTGCCTTTTGTAACAACCTCAATAAAGAGATATATTGGACTGTGGGGATGCTCAGGCAGATACATATCTGTATGTGTTTTTTCTGTCCTTTGTTCCTTTTAATGTTGTTGGAACTTACTTATTTGGGGTGGAATATTTATTTTTGTATTGGAAAAGTTCTTTTCATCACATTTCTGTCTAGTTGCCTGGAATTCCATTCCAGATGTTAGAATTATTGTGGGGCAAATAGGAAGCGAGAGCTATCAGCACTGCCTTGACAAAAAAATAATCAGGAAAAATTAAATAAATAAGACTGAAATCAGAATACCTTGAAAGAAGAAGTGAATTGTTAAATTCTTCCAATTTTAGGGATGTTAACCTATATCTAATTTGAGTGACCCCTTTAGGAGACTAAAGGCATAACCAGTTACAATATTCTTCACCAATGTGAAATAAGATTGTCTACCTATTCTCCGAAGCATGGAATTTGATTACCATTATAATTAGCTTAAAATGATAAATGGATCATTGCACAGTCAAATAACTTAAAGGAAAATTTAATCTAGTGGAAGCAATTGTAATAAAGATATAAGGATGCCCTCATCAAAGGAAAGCCAAGTATAGGAAAATTACACTACAACCTTGATTGAGGTGTGAAGGATTCAGCTGTAATATTTGAAGAGGTCAAAGGCCTAGAGTGTAGTGTTTTTCAAAAAGATTCACTGTTTGGAAATGTCTAGGTGTATTTTAGGTTTTAGAAAAATCAGTATGAAATTATTTCATCACCGGTATCCATGGAGTGGGGTAAGGCAGAGAGAAAGAGGGAAAAACATGTTATAAATGTTTTATCTGCTCTTCAGCAATTCCTGTAATGTGAAAACTCATATCAGGCAAAACAGTTTTGCCAATACAAGTATAGTTGTGAGAAACTGAATACACTTTAAAAAGATTTCTAATGAAATGCCAATTATATTTCAGTTTTTGATAGTTTATACACCAAAAGAGAAAATTAAAATCTAGGTAAAATTACTTTTTTTTTTGAAATCAATGAAACAAATTTGTTTTGACTCCTTTGCTTTTCATTTCAGGACCCCAAAATAGATGGGGTAGTAATCACTGCTGCCTACTGATTGCCATTCAAACTAGCATTTACTTAGTCAAGGGAATTATTTTTAGAATTTAAAATGATACTGAGAGTAAATAATAGAAAGAGTAGACTGGGAGGTCTTCTAGTCCAATCCCCTGCTCAGGTAGGAAACCCAATGCCATTTCAGACAAATGGTTGTCCAGTCTCTTCTTAAAAACTCCCAGGGTTGGAGCACCTACAACTTTTGGTGGCAACTTTCATTTGATCCCAAGCTCCTGGTTGGTTAACAGAGGGGAACAGGTACCTGAAAGAAATATTGGCAAGGTGATGGAAACATGATTTTGGATGCTTGAGGCAAGTTTATATAATAGTTCATGCAGTAGTTTTGGCTTTGTTAATGGAGTTGGTATTTGCTAGCCTTCATCCATTGATTTGGGGTCAGATGTTGCCAATATGCTGAAATATTCAGGTGTGTGTGTGTCTAAGTAAGAAGAATAGATTCAAATTTGACTCTAGTAAGATCAAATGGCTTTAGATATTTGGACCACTTGGAACTGGAGCCTTTCAACCTCTAGTTCCAATATTTGAGGAGTTGGCACAAAGCACCTGAAGGCAGGACAAGAAGCAATGGATGGAAACTAATCAAGGAGAGAAGCAATCAAGAATTAATGAGAAATTTCCTGACAGTTAGAACAATTAATCAGTGGAACAAATTGACTCCAAAAGTTGTGGGTGCTCCAACACTGGAGGTTTTTAAGAAGAGATAGGACAACCACTTGCCTGAAATGGTATAGGGTTTCCTGACTGAACAGGGAGTTGGACAGGGAGTTCTACATGGCTCAGGGCCAGGTTGTCTTCGAGACCTCCTTCTGCCGCATAACTCCCAGCGACCGGTAAGATCCCATAGAGTTGGTCTCCTCCGGGTCCCATCAGCTAAACAATGCTGGCTGGCGGGCCCGCGGGGGAGGGCCTTCTCTGTGGCTGCCCCAGCCCTCTGGTTACCTCCTGAGGTCCGGACCATCCCCACCCTATTGGCCTTCTGAAAAGCGGTGAAGACCTGGCTTTTCTGGCAGGCCTGGGGCCGTTGATCTCGCTCTTGTGATCTGGCGAGATCCGGCCATGAATGGCGTGAATGAGTTTTTAATGTTTTTAATTTTTCAATGTTTTTTATAATGATTTTTTAAAATGTATTGTGAGCCGCCCTGAGTCTTCGGAGAGGGGCGGCATATAAATTTAATTAATTTAATTTAATTTAATTAATTAATTAAAGACCTCTAAGGTCCCTTCCAACTCTTGTCATTCTGTTAGTTTTGAATGGGGTTACACTTCTGCATTTGGAAATAGTGTACTGTTGGGGGTTTTTTTTTTTGGACTTATAGTTCCTGCTTGAGGAGTACTTGGCAGCTGTGGTGGAAAGGCCTTTGCACAGTTTCATCTTATAGAACTACCCTTTGCTGACCTCATGCATGGACTACTGCAATAGAGTTTTTTTTTGAAGGCCATTCACAAACTGTAGCTGATTCAAAATGCAGTGGCATAGGCAATAATGTAACAGTGCTTATTGGTGGACTTCTGGGACCAACGAAGGTGCTGATTATCTTCTATAAAGTCCTTAATGAATGGAACCCGGCTTTATAAAGGCCCACCTGTTTCATCTAATGTCCATTCATCCTCAATAGATTCTGTTAATGTATATTAATAAATCTGGGCATGACTCAGTAAAGTACATCAGTAATATATACGAGTAACAGCTAATTAGATTTCTCTCAAATAAGCAGCCAGGCTAAGGTTGAGGTAGATTATGATTTTGTTGTTAAAAATGGTTTGACGAATTCCAGAACAAAATGGTAGGAGATCCTTCTATCACTAGGAAGAGCAAGTCATATTAGTTTAGTATATACTGTAAGTAAATGGCAAGCTCAGGGGAAGGAAGTCTATATGCTCTGTTAAATGTGTATATTAATCAGTAGTATCTATTTTTTGATGCCTTAATATGAATATATGAATTGCATAAAGGATAATTTAACAGTTAACTTTTTATTCCTTACAGATTTATTCAAAAGTAAATGCATTTCATTTTTCAGGTCATAATTTCTGTGCACAAGGGCACCGATGTGGTGAAAATTCAGAGTGCAGAAACTGGAACACACGAGCTACTTGCGAATGCAAAAGTGGTTATGTCTCTGTCCAAGGGGACTCTGCCTATTGTGAAGGTAAATAATATGCTCCTGAAAGTAACTTGATTGTAATCTAGTGAGAAATACTTAGCTAAAACAAAGACCATGCAGAGTGTCTCATTATGAAGTTCAGTCTTCGCGGTTGCACTAATAATATTACCCACACTTGAATTTTTTTTTTTATTTAGAAAGTGCAGATGATCTAGAGAAAAGTTTATTCTGAAATTCCCAACTGATGGATTTGCTTCTTAACATGCAAAAGTGCCATCTCCTGGCCTGTTTAGCTTTGTCATACAGATGTCAAGTATGCTGCTTATTACACTGATAGGAAAAATAGCACTCTTGAGAAATCAAATCAATGCCTTTTGAAAAATAATATAAGAACCATGTGTCATTTGATACCTTGGGAAATTTAAAGCCTACCAAAAGTTTTTCTGAATAATTTGTTTTTATGTCTGAGATGTCCCTTTATGTACTCTTGGAAAAATGTTGAAATAAATAGTTTTGGCATTATAAATTGCCTATATGCTGGACTAGTTCTGGGCTGAAAATGCAGAAAGGTGCATATTTATTTATTTGTTAAATTCCACTGATATAGTAACTCTGCATAATTAACACCCATTTCATTCTCTTAATTGGATTCCAAAGACTAATTGGGTTCCCTGTTAGACATGTGATTACTGCTTTGCATCTGGTACAATCATACTCAATTATATGATAGTTGGTTGCACTGAAACAAATTCTGTAGGGTTTTATAGTATATACAGCACATACAGTAGGTTATCATCAGTTAAAACCTAGCTTTAGCATATGGTTTAATAGTTTCCCTGGAGTATAGAATAATCTTAATTTCAGTACAGGTAAGTTTCTTCTGATTCTAGGTGGTATTGTTGGGCAAGTCTTCATTTAAAAAAAAAATGATTTAACATTAAGGCCCATGTGAATTTCATCGGTAATGAAATTTGTGCTATAGAAGTAATGTGATTCTGTATCAAAGCAAAGAGCCACCTAATGTGGTTCCTTGCCCAAACCAGAAAGGTTTCTGTGTAGTTTTTTATTCTTCTTTTTGTTGCACTGGAACAAAAGTTTTCATTCTTGGCAAGAACAGATTGGACAATAACTTGGAAGAAAAGCTAGCTCAAAAGTAATATAAGATCTCAGTTCGGACATTAACTTCAGATCAGAGATTAATCTTCAGACATTAAATTCAAATCAGCTGAACTGCTTGAGGATATCCAAATTATTATAATTTAAGTCATGATATGAGCATCTAAGTGATTCCAATATTCAGCACAATTTAAAGTCTAATAAGAGGCTTGAACTGTTGTGGTTATATAATTATTTATATTTTGCTGTAAATGGATAAAAGCCAAATGCAATTATGGTCTTTGACCAGAATGAAATAAAAATAATTCTGCTGTAAAAAATCTTAAATAAAATTTATAATATGAATAAATGTATAGAGGCTTTAAGTAACTATTTAAAACAATTTAAAATATAATTTATGACTATCAATATTATACTTACCAATTAGAAATAGGACAAGGAGAACATTTTAGGACTGTGATACAAGTAGGATGAAGGTTAATATTTATGATATATACCAACCAAAAAATGATACCTATTAGTGTCCTGTTAAACTGACATGCTGCAGAATAAGATTTTGCAACACTGTGTTATAAAAAATTACTGTGTGTCAGAGAAAAAAAAAAAAGATGTAAAATTGGCTTGAGTGATCAGACATTCCAGTCAAAAGTGGAAAAATAAGGATATTACGAATATCTCTATAAACTGGTTATAAAGTATTTTTTTTTTCTTAGAAACATTGTGCCTTCTACTTTTTATATATTGTCAGAAGAAGCATTCACTTTGCTGTATGCCATTTATTTATAGTATTTATGAATTTCATCTTCATGGATCTCTTCTTTTCATTTCTTATAAATGCTGTGTTTAAAATTGATCCTGAGTTTCTTTCTTTCCGTCTATATCTGAGACGACAAAGAAACACTTAGCTGACAAGAAGTTAAAATGTACTGTGGAATAAGAAAAAAAGAGCTGTTGTTTGGTAGAAAAAGATCGAGGGAAAAAAATTCAGACTAATAGGAACTGCTGTAAAGCTGTTATTTCCCATACTTTTGAGTAGTGAAGATCTGTAAATCTATGGTTTTTCGTATCTTTTTGAAATGAAAATGACCATTACCATGCGACTCATGAGTTACAACTCTCAAATTATACCAGCAGCTCCTGCCATAGGAAAAGTGTATTTCATAGGAATTGTAAGTCAGAAATTGCTCTATCAATGTTGCAAGAATTCATTTCAAATCAATAAAAGACTGTAAACCATTTTGGCAGCAGCTCAATAAAGAGTCAGATGAACTGCATATTTATTTTCTTCAACTACTTGTATTTGTTAAACTTAATTTATTCATGTGTATTTTCTTTGAGGCATGCAAAATAAAGCTAGGGAATCTTTTTTCTTGGATTTTGTGTAACCTGGCAAGAATTTAAAGGCCTTAGCTTAAAGTTTCACTTGGTAGATATTTGCAGTTTTGGTGGAAGGGAAATTTTTAGCACTTTGATTAGTATACTAATTGCAGCTAACCATTATGGCAAGTGGTTTGGGAGAAGGCTGGTTTTTATAACTAGTTTGTGCTTTTCAGAAAGGATTTACATTTAAAATTAATTGGTGTAAGGTGAAGGGAAACCCAAGCTCTAGAAATATTAAGACAGATGTCTGATAATTTTAATAGGATATAGTGTGATGGATGCTGGGTTGAAGAAAACATTTTATGGATATGAATGGAATAAGTACCTCATTCCCAAAATATACTAACCAGCAGTGAATTAACCACTATGTAAATTGCCTGTTGTTTGGTTTGGGGCTATGGACAAAAACATCTTTGGTATATAGTCTTCCAGTTCTTTTTCTTTTGTGTATGAAAATCAGGCTGAACTTGCTTCTTATGTATTTTATCATTCACACCATTTACCATGATATTTCAGCATCATTTCTAGTGTTGTGCATAAGACTTCTTGGTTACTGGAAGATTTGAGGGATGGAGGGACAGAGTAGATTGAAACAACATTGGGATATTGGACATAAATTCTTGGTTTGGCTAATTGTTGCAATCCAACCTTACTAGGAAATGTGTAGAGGGAATTGTAGTTGTTTTTCACGCTGACTCAAGAGTGCAGACAGCTCTTTTCTTAATATTTGCTGTTTTCTGCTTCTGTACTAAGGCCAGTGGTCTTTGCTCATTTTTCTCACTGGTGACTTATAGCATCTTCTAGAGTCATTCAATCATTGTTGTGCCAAAATAATAGTAATGCAGACAGGCTTTCTGTCATATCAATGGTAGCCAGGTGATGCTATGAAGTTGTTATAAGTCACTATGGAGAAATGACTTTAGTTTGTTGTCCATCTGCTTGTATGCTGCATTTTCTGACAGTGTAATACATATTTTTCATAAAGTTAAAGCATAAATCTCTCCACCAGTAGCTGTAGAAGAAACTACAGCCACAAATTAGCCTATTTTTCTGCCATTTAAATCATTGGAAATTGAAGATTTCCTCATAAGATTAGCCAGTGTCCAATCACGCATGCTAGTTATTTCTTCAAAAACAACAATAAGAAGATACATTATTGCTTGTTCTAAGATTTTAATTGCCTATCAGATCCTCCCCCATAACAGCTTGCTATCTGCAACAGAGAGATATTTTTTGAGCTAAGCTCAACATCTGACATAGATATATCTCTATGTATTTTCCTTGGTAGCAATATAGAAGTAGTTTGTAACTGTCTTCTTCAAAATGTCTTGGCAGTTCCCATCTTATAGTTGATAGTTCCTGAAGATCCCATGTCCAAGAATTAAGCAGGTTTGGATCTGTTTAGATTTTGAGATCACCCAACCTTAATTGTCTATCAAATAATTATCAATTCTAAAAATATTTATGGTTATGAGATGATGATGATGATATGATATAATAGTCTAAAATCAGTTTGTGGTCCAGCATTATTCAGAACCACCTGGAATATTTCAATGTGTTCCTCTCTTCAGGTCTTAAAATCACATTATACTTTCTATCAGATGTAGAAAACGGGTAAATGCATGGTTCCCTTGACTTGACTGAGTCACTGTATTTATTTTTATACAAGCAGTGTACTTGCTTCTAACTGCCCTCTTCTATAGATCAGCCATTTTTCAGATGATGCCACAAGTACCTTTGAAAGCATCAGGAGCATCAATTAATTACAAATAGCCTCTCCACATTGTAATTTTAGGATGTAGTAGCAATATCTCTGCACCATTTTGTTATACTTTGTCCTAGTTCTCAACTGTATCTCTAAAGGATGCCTCAAATAGTCATTTTTTCCCTCACCTTATGTACACAGTAACATATTCTGGACATATTCTGACAGATTGTTCTCAAAAGAAACATACACATAGCCATTCTAACTTATTCTGCAATTTTAACATATTTCAAACTTTTTACTGTCTGCATTCTTAACCCCCCCATGTATTTTATTCCCATTTCTGCAGATTTAAATTAGGCAAATATATGCATATAAAATTAGTTATATTCAGATCATTAGCACAAGTTTTTTTTTTAAAGCATTATAAATAGCATTCTGGAAAACATTTGATCTTAGCCTGTAATAAAGTATTTTCATTTTAGCAGTATACACGGCACTCCCCTCTATTCTTTTATGGAGAAAAACAACGCTGTGGGAGAGAGAGATAGAGAGTGACAGAGAGAATGAGAAAGAGAGAAAATGAGAACAAGCTGGGAAGGTGCTGAGGATGGATTAGAATCTGAGTTTCCCTCTTGTTTGTCTGACTATACGGGTGCATTTTCCCCAGTATCTTGTTCTATAAAGTAAGTTTGATAGTGGATAGTCTAGACCAGGGGTCTGCAACCTTAAACACTTAAAGAACCATTTGGACTCGTTTCCCACAGAAAAGAAAATATTGGGAGCCACAAAACCTTTCCCGTGCCTGACTATTTCTTGAGCAGCTACAAAACTAGCACATGTA